ATGACAAATTGCCAGAAATTTTGAGTTGGTTGATTTTGTCTTTGGTGGCCTGAAATCAGGTATTGTGGGAGTATTTATACCATGGAAATTGGCAAATGGCACAAGTTCATTTCTTGTGTACTGAAGAACCAGTTGTTAAACTTTTATCATCATACCACTGGATGGTTCTAAATCTCCTAATTCAATCTGCAATTAAAATATTCTCCTAGGGGTTTTTGGAGAGAGAGGCTGCCATATATGGGGGACAAGACAAAATGAGTTCCAGTCTGTCACTCACAAACTTTCAACTTCGTGACTAAAAACAACTATTTTAGATAGTCATTTCTTTATGAAAAAAGAATCTAATTCTGAAGTAAGCACAAGGGGCGAAGAGAATCTAGGAGTTGGCAATACTTAAAATCCAGATAGGCAGACAGACTGGCATTGGACAGCTAGATAGTTTTGGAGCTGAAACCCAGGCATGGAATAGAAGTTTCTGTGTAGAGGAGGAAAAGATCAGGGTGGGTAGCTTCTAGCTCTAGGGACATGGCACATGAGGAAATTTTATAACCTATATTTTATTGACCATTAAATTGTTAAACAAAATAACAACTACCAAGTTAATATTAAGTACAGATACAAATGTTTCTTGGTCTTCTGCAGAAAGTGGTTTCTGAAGTATGGTCTCTGGGCCAGTATATGAGCGTCACCTGAGAACTTATAAATGCAAACCCACAGGCTCTTGCTCCAGCCCTACTGGATCATAAACTCTGGGGCTGGGGCCGCCCAGTCTGAGTTTAACAAGCTTTCTGAGTGATTCTGATGCATATTACTGAACTAGGAAATGTCTTGGAGTACTTTGTTTTTGTCCAATAAGAGAACCCATTTTCAACTTGATCCCTAAATGGGAAAGAAGTTTCCAGCTCAACTGGAAGATGGCTGAAGAAGGCAGAGAACACAGATCAAGAGAACTATAGGGCTAGGCAAATATTTAGAAATTTTTCCCAGGGAATTAGCCAAGCAAGCCAGAAGCTGGCATTTTGCCAAGACTCCTGGAGAGTATAAAATACAAAAGGTTGCATTTTAAAGTGAACTTTGAGAAAGTGCATTCTGCAAATACTAATAAAAGTTCTGATACAAAGAAAGTGACATTCTGGCACAGACAACAATGCAAACAACATGGATCATATTAAGAAATAGGCAGGTATTGGAAGAAGGGGTACTAGAACAGCCTATTCATTTTGCCTTTGTGGTTCAGAGCTCTCACCAGTTTTATAATGCATTTAATCGTTATTGAGTGCTTACTCTGTGCCAGGTACTTTAGTAAGTACCTCAGTAAAGTGTTTCATTATTAGCACCATATCTCAGATGGGAAAACCAAGGCCCAGAGAGGTATATTAGTAGAAGTTTGCCTCAAAGTCATGCAACTAGTAAGTGATAACACTGGGATTCAAAGCCAGGCGGTTTGGCTCAAGTGTACAGATGCTTAAACAAAATGCTCTGTTGCCTCTCTTCAGTGAGGAGAAACTCATTATGTATTAAATATTTAGAGGTTTGGAGTTCCCATTTCAAATTATGGGCTTTTGTAGTTTTTATAAAATCCTTTTGTAGTTGTTATAACATCTCAAGCTAAAGAATCTCTTTATGTATTGTTAAACATGACTGGATTCTGGACCCACCTGATTAATGCCCGAAAGTTCTGGTGTTCAGAGAGGGCAATCAGGTAAGCTGTACCTATACATGACATTGCTTTACTGAGGCTATTACTGTAAACATAGTACATGTTACTCTGAGTCCCAATATTGGATATTTAAATCCTCCTGTTAGAACAGGAGACATAAAAGAGTCCACAGATGAGGGCCAACTGATCCCAGCTGTGGAAAGGGAAGGGTTGTAGAATTTAAGGACCAGCACCTCTAATCTGGGTGTTTGTTTTGTCTGAAATGGACTAGGTGAACTTGCTCCAATTCTGGCATTTACTCTCAAATTGAATTAGTTTTTTTCATCTATGCATAGCCAGTTACACTGCTTTATACATGGCAGGCACTCACATATTTGTGAAAAGAAGGGAAAATGGGAGGGAAGGAGACACAAAGAGAAAGTAAGTTATAAAGGTGGATTCTTTGAGTTCTTTGAGTTTTTTGCATAACAGTCACAAATGGTTATGGAACCTTTATAGTAACTGCTTAGGTATTAACAAGATAAGGTAATAAATTAGAAATCTTAATCTTCATGTAGATAAGTACTGCATATAAACATGAAATAAAGCATCTGGGAAATACCTATTTTGATCCAGTCCATTTTTCCATGGATAACTTCATGGAAGCAAATGAATTTCACAGGCTTGCCATTCTAATGGAGTCACTAATTCATGCATACATACATTCATTTATTCAACAAACATGTATCGAGGGTCTTTTTAGGCCTGGTACTGTAGTATGTGCTGAGGTTACAAAAATGAGTAAGACATGATTTCTGTCCACAAAATGTTTAGACTGGTGGGAAAAACAGATACATTGTGGCAATGGTTGCACAGCTCTGTGAATATATTAAAAACAATTGAATTGTCTAGTATAGGTTGGCGAATTGTACGGTATGTGAATTATATCTCAAAACTGTTTATGTTTTCTTTTTTTTTTTTTTTTTTTGAGACAGAGTCTCACTTTGTTGCCCAGGCTAGAGTGAGTGCCGTGGCCTAGCTCACAGCAACCTCAAACTCCTGGGCTCAAGCAATCCTCCTGCCTCATCCTCCCAAGTAGCTGGGACTACAGGCATGTGCCACCATGCCTGGCTAATTTTTTCCATATATATTAGTTGACCAATTAATTTATTTCTATTTATAGTAGAGGTGGGGTCTCGCTCTTGCTCAGGTTGGTTTCGAACTCCTGAGCTCAAAAGATCCGCCCACTTCGGCCTCCCAGAGACCTAGGATTACAAGCGTGAGCCACCGCGCCCGGCCTCACAACTGTTTAAAACAAATGAAACCAGATATAACTCCTGGGTACTACACAAAGCCAGGAAGAGGTGGCCACAACTCAACCTGGGAAGTGAGGAGGGAGTCTTCACACAAGTAAAGCCTGAGATGAAATCTTAAAAAAAAAAAAATTCCAAGCTGGTGGCTCACACCTGTAATCCTAGCACTCTGGGAGGCTGAGGCAGGCGGATTGCTCAAGGTCAGGAGTTCAAAACCAGCCTGAGCAAGAATAAAACCCCTTCTCCACTAAATATAGAATGAAATTAATTGGCCAACTAAAAATACATAGAAAAAATTAGCCGGGCACGGTGGCACATGTCTGTAGTCCCAGCTACTTGGGAGGCTGAGGCAGGAGAATCGCCTGAGCCCAAGAGTGTGAGGTTGCTGTGAGCTAGGCTGACGCCATGGCACTCCAGCCTGGGCAACAGAATGAGACACTGTCTCAAAAAAAGTTACCGAGGTGATGTGTTACAAGATATTTCAAACAGAAGGGACAGGCTGCACAAAGCCACCGAGGAGAGAAACCACATGTGTCTGTGTGTGTCATGGGGATGTTGGCATGGGGTTGCAGCTGGAGAGGTAGGCAGAGACCAGAAACCCACTTCAGAGCTGGCCAGCCACAGAAAAGTTTTACTTAAACTGGGAAGCGATATAAACCGTGATCAGATTTGTTTTAGATGAACCAAACCGACAGCTGTGACGTAATGGAAAGAACACTCAATTCCCCCTCACTTCCCTGTCAGAATAACCTGCATAGGTCTCAGATCTGCCATTTTAAAACTATCAGTGTTATATAAATGTCAAGTATTATCATTCAATTGAGCCTAATGGTACCTCTTGTCAGCAGGTAGAAGATGTAGGGCACATTAACAAGATTTTATGTTGAACTAGGGTCGATCTCGCACTGAGTTAAAAGGAAAGTTTGTTAGTGAGTGGGACACCCCCCTTTGCCCTCCTTGGGTGGTGGCGAAGAGACTGGGGGATGTTTTAAAAGTCTCTACAAGGCTGGGTGTGTGGTGGCATTCTGCAGGGTGTGAAATAAAATTTTAAGCCTCATCCCACCACCGGCTGACTGAATGGACCCCCTCCCGACCAAAGGAATATCCTAAAACTAAATTGTCTGCCAAGAGGAGGGAGGTCAGACATGCCTGGTCATGCCCCCCTCCCTTCTTGGGACATCGTTTGTAACCCATTAGCAGGCCTAAGCAGGTCCTCAATTTACACAACAAATCTATGTCCAGTGGTGGATCTCTGATAACAGCTCCTTAAGTTAAAACATTCCAAGCCTTTAGACAAAGCTTCATGTTTTTAACCAATTACAATCCAAAGAATCTTTAAACCCACCTATAACATGTAAGCCTCCAGCCCCAACTTGGAGATGGCCCACCTTTTTGGGCCAAGCCAATGTATGCCTTCCACGTATAGATTTATGACTTTACCTGCAACCCCCGTCTCCCTGAAATGTATAAAACCAAACTGTAGCCCAGCCACAGCGAGTCCACTTGCTCAAGGCTTCTTGGCAGTGGCTCCAGCTCATGGTCCTCAAGTGTGGCGCAGAGTAAACTTCTTTCAAATATTTCAGAGTTTGGATTTTTCCGTCCACAAGGGTTTCTGTTTTTCAAGATTTTAGGCTGGGTCCTAGGTACTGTTAGGAATCTGTTAAAATTATCGTTCTGAGCACCCTCGTAGGATCCACAACAAAAAAAATGAAGAAGAAGAAGAAGACAGGAATAAAATAATTACGGCATCGCCAACAGGACCACATTTTCCCGAAGGCAGTTAAGTTGCTATCTCAGGGGAACCACAAAACGAGGGTCCCAGGCAGCACGGAAAACGAAAACGGAGGGTAACACCGCCACGCCGACGGTAAAGCCTGCTGAGATCCCCGCCCTGTTCCTCTTGCTGTCCCTAACCCCTTCCCTCTTCGCCAATTCCTGTAGGAACTTTAAAAATATTCTTCCGAGTTGGAACGTAGGACCAATTTCGTGAACACCATCCGGGACGGTTAATATGGCGGCGGCCGCGACGCTCATAGAGGCAAGGCAGGGGCTTGTCTTGTGGGGAACATAGCTCTGGCGCGGCATTTCCTGTCGCAGCAGAGTGCAAACCGTGCTGTTTTAGGCGCCTGTCTGCGGTGGATGCTCCACCTGCCGCGGACTCTTCCTGAGCTTTAGGTTCTCCGGAGGGTCCTGTTACTTACAGGCGACCTCGTCAGTGATTTTACTCCATCCCGGAGCCGTTCGCGGCAGGGGGCGCGGGCGCGCGGGAAGAGGATGCACGTTGACATCCTCCAGCCGCCCGTGGGGACTGCAAGGACAAGGTTCTATTCCCCATACTGGGCAGGAGTTGATGCGTGAAGTGAGTTCTGGTAAGGGAAAGGTATAATAGTATATTTGAATTGCTTTCGTCTGTAAACTTTAACCGTTTTCACAGTGCTTGTTGGTGCTCTCTGAATTACATCGTTGCAGGCAATTCCAGTTCTTCAGCTTTTAGAGGTTGTCTACTTTGCATCAACGCTTTTCTTTTGGGGACTAATTCTGTAGCACTTCTGGGTAGCACCCCTTTTCAGCAGTTAATGAAGTCCAATTTGTTAGCTAGGATGGCAGCCCTTGTTTGTACAATGCTTTTTTGATTTTGTTATGTTTTTGAAGCACAGTGATCTATACTGTCATTTAAGTTAGGTTTTTTAGTTAAGTGGCAGTGGAAAGACTGAAGCTTGCTCTCTTAGGCCAGTGATTTTTTGTTTTTGTTTTTTTAATTTAAAACACTGCATCATAGTTTTCTTTTTGAGCTTCTCACAGGAAAGCTCAGTGGCAAGGCCAGCCAATACTTGGGCATCATTGTTGCTTAGAAGTTAGGGATGCCAAGAGTTCACCACAGACTCTGATGACAAAGGGAGCAAACCAAAATGGATATTGTTAACTGGAAAGACATCAATGGCATACATTTTCATGTATCTTTCATGACAGAAATCACATGAGACAAAACCAAAGAAACCAAAAAGACAATTGAAGATTTATCATTCCTGTCACATTTTCTTTCCTTGGCTTCCAGGATACCTCATTCTCTTAATTTTCTTCCTGTTTAACCTCTCTTTCCTTCTCCCGTTACTTGTGTAGTTCCTCCTCCTCTCCCCAGTCTCTTTCCTTGAAGTGTCCCAGGAACTAGGATTCTGTCCTTCATTCTCACCTGTTCTGTATCTAAATTCACTCCTTTGGCTATCAAATTTATATCTGCAGTTGGTACCTCTCTCCTGAACTTTAGATTCTTATACTCATCTGAGTGTTCTATTATAGATCTTCACTTGGATAGCTTATCAGCACCTCACAATTGTTTAAAATCAAACTCATTATCATAGCCTACAGTCTTTCTCATGTTATTTTGTGGCAGCTCCATCCTTTCAGTTGTCCAGGCCAGAATCCCAGAATATCCTTGATTCATCTCTTTTTTCTTTCTTTCTTTCTTTTTTTTTTTTTTTTTGAGATAGGATCTTGCTCTGTTGCCAGTTCTAGGGTGCGGTGGTGCCATCATAGCTCACAGCAACTTCAAACTCCTGGGCTCAAGCTATCCTCCTGTCTCAGCTTCTGAAGTAGCTTAAGACTGAGACTACAGGTGTGTACCACCATACCTGGCTAATTTTTTATTTTTTTAAGAAATGGGATCTTGCTTTGATGCTCAGGCTGGTCTCAAACTCCTGGGCTCAAATGATCCTCCCATCTTGGCCTCCCAAAGTGCTAGGGACTTCTCTCTTTTTTTTTCACACTTTGTGTTAAATAGTTGGCAAATTCAGTTGGCTTTTCCCTCCAGATTCTGACATCTTGTCACTACTACACTGCAACTACCCTGTTTCAAGCTACTACCATCTCTCGCCTGGATTTCTTAACAGGTTACTGTCAATAAGTAGTGAAATTGGACCTTTAAGAACTTAAATTCTGTTACTCCTATGCTCAGAGCTCTGGAAAGCCTTTCCATTTTTCTAAATCCAGACTCCTTAGAATGGCCTGTAGCTGTACTGTCCATTTTGTTAGCCATGATTGAGCATTTCAAATGTGGCTAATCTGAATTGAGTGTGTTCAATACATATTAGATTTTGAGGGCTTAGTAAAAGAAAATGTAATATATCTCAATTGTATTAATATTTTTTACATTGATAATGAAGTAATATTTTGGGGTATATGCTATAATAAAATATATTATTAATTTCACTGTTTCTTTTTACCTTTTTATCTTGTCTGTTAGAAAATTTAAAATTACACATGTGGCTCATGTAATTCCATCACTGGCCTACAGTCTTCCACATCATCTGGTGCCTGTCTTCTCCCACACCCCTCCTCCAGCTCACCTCTGACTTCTCCAATTCTCCTTAACACTCATTCTGCTCTAGCCACGCTGGACTCCTTCCTTCCTTCCTTCCTTCCTTCCTTCCTTCCTTCCTTCCTTCCTTCCTTCTTCCCTTCTTCTTCCTCCCCTCCCTCCCTCCTCCTCCCCTCATTTCCTTCTTCCTCCTTCCTTCCTCCCCCCTCCCCCCCTCCTCCCTCCCTCCCTTCCTCAGGGTCTCCCTCTTGCTCAGGCTGGTTTCCAGCTCCTGGCCTCAAGCAATCCGCCCGCCTCGGCCTCCCAGAGTATTACAGGCGTGAGCCACTGTGCCCAGCCAGGACTCTTATTTCTTTTCTTTTTTTTTTTTGAGACAAGAGTCTCACTTTGTTGTCCAGGCTAGAGTGAGTGCCATGGCATCAGCCTAGCTCACAGCAACCTCAAACTCCTGGGCTCAAGCGATCCTACTGCCTCAGCCTCCCGAGTAGCTGGGACTACAGGCATGTGCCACCATGCTCGGCTGATTTTTTCTATGTATATTAGTTGGCCAATTAATTTCTAGTAATTTATAGTAGAGATGGTGTCTTACTCTTGCTCAGGCTGGTTTTGAACTCCTGACCTCGAGCAATCCATCCACCAGGGCTTCCCAGAGTGCTAGGATTACAGGCGTGAGCCACCACGCCCAGCCAGGACTCTTTATTTCTTAAACACACCAAGAACACTCCTGCCTTGGGATCTTTGGCCTGGAACACTTTTTCTAGATATTTGCACAGTTACTTTTCTCATTTTTTCAAGTCTTTGCTAAAATGTCTCCTTTTTAATGAGGTCTATCTTAACCACCTCGCTTAAAATTGCAGTCGATTTTCCTAACCCTAACCCTTTTATCCTGTAGTCCCTCCCTCCCCCAATATTATGTTGGCTTCTCTTCTCTAGAATGTAAACTCTATGAGGATAAGAATTTCTGTCTGTTTTGTTCATTGATGTATACTAAATGCTCACAGCAGTGCTAGCCCGTGTTTCATTGGCACTTCATTGTTGAATGAATGAATGAAGAAGTTGATCATCAAAAAAAATGCCCCTCCTTCCATGTGTTGTAATGGATAATATGTAAAATAATTTGAATCCAGTTTTTGCTCTCATTTATTTAAATTCCCTTCATTCAACAGATGTTTATTGAGTGTCCACTTGCCAAGCATTCTGCTAGGTGTTAGAGATGCAATGGGGAATGAGCTATATACATTCCTGTTCATGGAGCTTACATCTATTGAGGAGCACACATTAGTTGGATAATTATTTCTTTAATTACAATTTTCCTAAGTGCTGTGAAGGAAAACTACAAGATCCCATAAGAGTGTATATGAGAGACATGATCTATTCTGAGTCTTCAGGGAAGACTTCTGAAGAAGTAATGTTTATGTAGAGGCCCAGAAAGATTACTGGATTACTATGAATTAGCTATGTGAAGGTGGAGCTGAAAGTGGTAGGGGAAAATGTCACAAATGGAAGGAAGATTTTTTAATGAAATATGGTGTGTTCAAGTGATTGATAGGAGGTGGGTGTCTTTCAAGCATGGTGAGTACGAGGGAGAGTGGTGTTGGATAAAGCTCACTAGATAGGTTTAGAAGTACCTATTGGAGTACCTTTAGTAAGAATTTACTTTGTTCCAAGAGCCAAGTGAAGCCATTCAGGGGTTTTAAGGACATGAGATTTTCATTTTTAAATGATCTTTACTAATAATAGGTGGAAAAGAAATGGAGAGGCCCAGGAGTAGTAGAAGATAGAACAATTTGGAGGCTGTCGCAGTAATCCAGGTGGTAGATGACGGTGGCCTGTACTATGGTGGTTGTAGGGGGAAGGCAGAAACTAGATGGGTAAGTTCTTCTAGGGAGAGTGAGGATTACAGAGCCAAGTGAGATGACAGTTTAGGATTGATCCCTGGGGAACTCTAACCTTTCAGTATCAATTATAAGAGAATAAGCTATTAATCGCAAAGGAGACGTAGTTTCCATCTCATTGCCAAAGGGTGGGAGAGACTTTTAAGGATGAGTGCAAATTTAGGTGGGTTCATAAGTAGCTCAGGAAGTTCTGAGGGCTATTTTCTCCAAAGTACCAAGTGAGATTATCTGCTAAGAGTATGGGGAGAAGAAATGTTTTAAAGGATATAAAATAATACATGTAGACAAATTGACTACAGAGATATTGAGAATACAGATATCATGGGCTAACAGTGCTACATAAATAGTAGTATTTTTGTAATTTGGTTTCTTTAAGCCTTTAGCAGTTTGATAGATTTCTATTGAAAATTTAAATTTCCAGTTGTCATGATTGGGGATTCTAAATAGTGGTTGTTGATTTTTTTTTTTTTTTTTTTTTTTTCACTTTGTTGCCTAGGCTAGAGTGAGTGCCATGGCGTCAGCCTAGCTCACAGCAACCTCAAACTCCTGGGCTCAAGCGATCCTTCTGTCTCAGCCTCCTGAGTAGCTGGGAATACAGGCATGCGCCACCTTGCCCGGCTTATTTTTTCTATATATATTAGTTGGCCAATTAATTTCTTTCTATTTATAGTAGAGATGGGGTCTCGCTCTTGCTCAGGCTGGTTTCGAACTCCTGACCTCGAGCAATCCGCCCACCTCGGCCTCCCAGAGTGCTAGGGTTACAGGCGTGAGCTACCATGCCCGGCCCAGAGCTAAGCTTTTTCCCATATGCTATCACTGCCTTTTTAGGACAGAACCTACTGTTAGAATTAATGAATTTTAATTAAGATGTACTATGTGTGTGTCTTTTTGCTCTTTAAATTACATTTTTTTCCTCTTAGGCAATTTTTATAGATCAGGTGTTCTAGGATTACCTGTACTATGATTACATAGTAGAATTTCAGATTTGCATAATATATATTAGAGTTTAAATTTATATTATGTAATGTAGAGTTTGAACATGTGAAAACCTAAAGGAATGAAATTTGTTCTTCCAACTGCTGATTCCCAGGAGCAGAAACTGGTTTCTTATTGGAATAAGCACCTGATGCTTTTCTCCCTTGGTGCTGCTGCCATCTTG